TGTTATAAAACATACAACATTTGATTGGAAAATGGGACTTCGTTAAAATCGTTTTAGACTAAAGCGTTCCTAGAAATTTATTATAAAGAACTCCTTCATTGTCCCTAATCAACATGGCTTATTTGTGCGCGTCCGCTATCTGGAGTGTTTCCAGTAGGGATTGTTTTTCAAAGACTATTATTCGTTTCTCAAGTTTCGATGAAATCAAAATTGTACTATTAAATGGAGAAGACTTTGAAAGCAATTGAGCTTTTTAGTCTGCTTATATTTAAGGTTCGAAATATGTAGATATACTTCAAATTCAAACACATTTAATTTTAAATAAGTGGAGAAATTGGTTAATTCACTCAAAATATAACTATATATAATATATATAACACTAGTGGGCCCGTACGAATAATTCACAGAAAATTTTGTTTAATGAAGAAATAGCAAAACAATGTAGAAATATGTAGATCCTATGTATTATATGAGGAAGGAATTAATATTTTTCCCTTGGTCGATTACAATATTCCATTTAACATAATAGACCAAAATGTTTGTACAAATTGCTTTGCTGGGACCTATTTTTAAACGCTGACTGGAAAGATAATAAAAGTAATGAAGACAAAATAATGCCCCGATCATGGGATTTTCTAAATTATTGAAAAAAAATAAAATTTAAGAACAAACAAATGCCATTAAGAAATAATGAAGTTAATATATCAGCCAGGAAAAAAAGTGTAGTAGACTATTCTACTCCTAAAAGCAATATCTTTAAAGAGAATGACATTATTAAGTATACCAAAACTAATGGACTGTATCTTTGTTAATAATTGTCAGATTTTTACGATTTTTTTTTTATTTTGCACCTAATTTAGTAATCTTTCTAATTACTATGGGTACAATAAAGAGAAATGCATATTTTTGAGTTATTCGCGAATAAAGTTTCTTTTCCTTCATAACTTTTTTTTCCAGAAATTTCGGGGGAATAGGGCTATTTTTCGCATTTGAAGGAGAATATCTTCAAAATGAGTGGTCAATGATTGGATTTGATGAAGAATTGACAAAGTTATAGCGTACCCACAAAAAAACACCTTTTAGAAATAATATATAGGATGGTCTCTGTTCATAAATAGTTCAGTTGGAAAATAGTCTTCAGGGGTTCTGTAAACATCTAAATACCATGAAGTTAGTAAATTCACAGTTCTCGTATAGACCTATAAAATTTTAGAACTGAGTTACCATCTTCTTCAAGGTGTTTAGACGACTTGAAAGATGATCTCAATTTACAGAACTCGTGAAGAGCATTTTTCGAATCAATAAGTTAAGGCCAGAGACCAAAGATGTATGTATTATGAGCGTTCTTACTTAAAGTTTATTTCAACATTTTAATATAATACCGAATTATTTCGCTTTTTTGGTTAAATTTTAATGTATTCCAATCCGGTATAACTCCAGGCAAAAGTTTAAAAATAACTAATGATTATAATAGAGTTTAAGAATCAGAAGAAGGTAGATATTTATTATGTGAGTCTGATATAAAATAAAAATAAATCCTCTTGTGCTGGATTTTAACCGGTTACTGCTCCGATTTCCACGGTAATGTGGGAACTGTATATTTCGGTGATTGAGCCTTCAAGAATATTTCGAAGATAAACGATTGATGAATATACCAGTTGAGATATGTGTATATAAAATATGTTCATGATGTAAAAATAACGCAAAGTTTTCAAAAGAATTTGAAATTTGCACTTTTTTTTCCGAATTAAGGATATAAAATTTTTTCCTAACGTTTGTGAAATGTCGTTTAACTATTTCAAGTAAAATTTTGGTGTGATTTTAGAACAATTTACATTATATATAAAACGATTGTATGGATCCATTTTCCGGCATTAAGGAGCGATGGATTTTGATGAATGAGGTATTAAATTTCAAGCAGAACTGACTAATGCCTATAATCGATCCTTAAATATAATTAATCATTGAAAAAGTCGACTAATCGATAAGGAACAAATTTTATTTTATTATATTACATTAAAGCGCTCTCGCTCTATCTCCACCGGCTTTAGCACCAGTGAGGCGGTTGAGAGAGTAGCGCAGGGATTTGGGTTCCCCGCCTGATTGTATATATTGTATATAGGTATGACTGTATTTTTATGTTTTTAATTTACTTATATTTAGGTTATTTTATTTTTTTATTGTATATGGTTTTTATTTATTATTATTTAGTTATTATTTTTCTTTAGTCAATTTTTTTTTTTTGTATATACGGTGTGAATGTGTTCATTTATCAATATAATTATTGTCCTCGTGACAGAATATTATATGTCTAAATAAATAAATAAAATTACATTACATAGAAAAATATTTCGATGCAGAAATCAATACCTGCGTCCCATTTTCGAGATAAAAGATATACTGAAGAGAAGTTGGATACAGTGTTCAGTCAAAAAAAGGACAAAGTAAAAATAAATAAGTTATATTTATATTTATTATTTTTCTTCTGTACATTATTCCTAAAATTGGTTACTAGAGGTTTTATTTTTTACATAAATTAGGCCATTATTCACCAACATTTTATTTATTAGTTATTTATCACGACGGTTCGACCATAATAAGGGCCATTTTGAAGTCTTAATTAGTCTTCCATTAGATATTCATTATTAATGTCGCATTAATTTGTTCAGTGAAAAATTAAATTGTCCTGCTATTTCCCCTAAGTCATTTCTGGAGGAGCCGAGCAGCACTAGTGTTGCCCAAAAACGGTCTTGGCCTTACACTTTGCAAGACCAAGACCAAGGCCGCCTAACTGTTGCAAGACCAAGACCAGGACTGGAAAAAAAAATCCGTTGTTTTGAATAAAAATTAAGCCAAAATAGTTACTAACACTTGATAATCTTAGTTACTAGATGTTAATAATTGGTATAACCAATATACTTTTGCATTAAACTTCTCTAATTTTTCATTTGGGCTTAGTTAGATTTCAGTAAAAAATTACAGTAATATCTCTAGTAAGTACTAATAAGCTAATAAGTAACTGTAAGACTGTTGCGAAAGTCTTGCGCAAGACCAAGACCATGACCAAAACTGAGTTTGCAAGACCATGACTCTCCTTGGTCTCGCATTTGGGCAACAGTATCGCTACTAGGACGTCAAGCTACTGGATACCCAGTTACCCGGCTTGGGGTATCGATGCTCAATTGAAAAACTGGAGGGATACCATCATTTATATTAAAAACAGGGATCGAAACGTTTGAATAAAAAAAAAATAAACAGAAACTGTTTTAGCTCATTGAAGTGTAATTCATGACCTATTATTCATTATTCATACCTATATTCATGATTTGATTGATATCTTAAGTTATAATCCCTACTCCCCACACATATTATTACAGTAAGGCTCGAAATCGGTTTTGTACCAAATATAAGCTCCTGTCATGCTCAAATACCATGAATGGGGTACCGTTGGATTCAGAATTTCACGGGGGGTTAGCGAATCATATTCTTCAATTTCGTTTTTCTTTCTAAAATAAATAAAGTCGATACAAACATTCTGCTAGGCTTTAATACTGGAACGTTTGTAGGTCTGTAGATCGATACGGGACAAATTGGATCTTGAAGATTTTGATGCGTACAGCAAAACCTGGATAGTTCTTTCGGAACAATCGGATCCTGCGTTTTAAGCCCAAAAACGTACTATTTTCGAGATAACGCTAGGGTTCGCATCCACACAACCTTACATTAATCGTGGTACTGTCATTGAATACATGTCTCATTTCGTCGACTTGAGGTCTCTATGATCGAGAAAGGAGGAGTTTCTATTATTTATCGATGGTGTTTTTGATCGGCAAGCCATATCATCGTTAGTTGTTCACCAAATCTCAAGATTGAGCCACCAATTTCGAAGGCTTCCTTCTCCTTCAAGCGGGCAAAATAGTCCAATCACCCAGAAAATTCAGGCAAACAAGTCATGAAAGAAAACAAACTTTATTTGCGAATAACTAAAAAATTACACAATTTTCCCTTGGTTATACCCATGATTATATAAAAGATTACTATATTCCCTACAAAAAGAAAAAAAATCATCGAAATCAGACAATTTTTAGCAAAGATACAGCTTACTGAAATTTTGTAAACATGTTGGTTCCAAACAAAAATGAAGATTTAAATTAATTTTTGTTTGCTTTGTCGATTATATTTATCGATAAAGTAACAATTGATTTCTTTATCTTTTGATACGTGTCATTATTTTCTTTTCTTATTAATTTGGCATTCAATAACAATATGTTGTGCCAATTTTTCGCACGGGCCTACTAGTATATAAAGATCGATTAATAAAAACATTGTAATATTAAATATATGTATATATATATATATATATATTATAATATATATTATATTATATAATATATATATATATAATATAATATAAACCTTTTGGGCTGAAGCCAACCACCTCCAAAACAAAAAATAAAAAAAAAATAAATTCTAGATCCGCTATTGCCCTGGAGTGTACAAGTATTCAATATATTTTAGAAAAGTACTGAAAGCAGTGTTACCACTATTTATTTTTTAACTTTTCTTTTGGCCAGTCATATTTTTCTTTTTTTCTCTCAGAATGTATTTAAAAAACCCTTCCGCTCAAATATATACAAAATAATATGTAATATTTTATGTAACTACTCGTTTTATGCCCATTTTACTTATATTATTAAAAAGATAGATTACACTTTGCTCGGATTAGGTTTTGATTTAGTAAAGATTTTTCCCTCTCCCAACCTTAAAATTTCCACAGACAGGAAACTTATTCACCAATGTGGTAACATTGGTTGCAAGTATAATGTTTAGTATAGGCATCATTTCATGATGTGATTTGTGATTTGTTTAAGGATCCTAATAAGATTATGTTACATGTTTGAATTGTAAAAAAAGAAGGATATTATTTATTTATGTGTTGATGTTGACAAGGCGATAATCATGCTGGAAGGATTCGAGCTGTGATGTTATGATGCACTTACCCGACTGTAGGTAGGCAGCTGATAGGAAGAGGATGATAGGGGACATCGCTGCTGACTGATGCCTGCGATGCTGAGTGGCGGTGGGGGCAGGCCCCTCTTCGTTTGGGGCGTAACAGATGCGTCCACGAGAGGCTGCAAGGTACGAGGGACGTGTCACTAATTCATCGGGAGCTGTCTGTGGTCAACAAGTTATCATCATATGAAACATCATATATATATTTTTTAAAACTTTTATTATGATATTTACAACTGTATTAGTATGAATAAATCAAGTAAATGTGTACAGAGGAATATTATCACAAGAAACAAGCTTGTTGAGAAACTACCCATTGGTAGCACTCTAATAATTTGTCAACATGAGAAGAAGGCCATCTTCTTTTCAGACGCCTCGGAGGGTTATCAGGAATCGAAGAGGAAGCAAGGTTAGAAACAAGAGGATTCGGATGGTTGTGAAGTTTATTATGGAAGGATAGGTATCTGGATTTGGCCAAATCGGAAACATATGGAAGATTGAGGTCTTTATGGATTATTTTATTTGTGACAAAGTAAGGAGCATTGAGGATTTTACGAAGGATTTTGGATTGTAAAGATTGGATACGAGAGGAATTTGATGATTTAGTGGAGCCCCATAGCTCAACCCCATAAGTCCAAATAGGTCTTATTATAGTAATGTACATGAGTCGTTTGTAATTCATTGGAAGTTTAGAGCGTTTGTACAGTAAGTGTTGGAGTAAGCGGAAACGTCGAGCAGTTTCTTGTCGTTTCAGTCTTGTTTGAGGATTCCAAGTGAGACGTTTGTCCAGCTGAAGTCCTAGGTATCGGATTTGTTCTACAGGGATAAGTGGGGTGTTATTAAAGGATACTATAGGACAGCAAGTAATTGGTTTACGACGAAGGGTAAAGGTGATTTGATGGGATTTATTGGAATTTATTTTAATCCTCCAGTTTTGACATCATTCTTCAAGGTTTGTGATGTGTGATTGAAGAGTTTGGGATGCAATTGTTGGAACATTATTAACTGACAGGATACATGTGTCATCGGCATACGTTGTGATGACAGTGTTAGGATGGGTTGGGATATCAGCTGTATAAACTGTGTAAAGGATAGGATCATGGATACTACCTTGAGGAAGTCCGGCAGATTGAGAAAAGAGGGATGAATAGGTATTGAAACATCATATGAATGAGAAGTTATTACTAGTATGGAAGCAATAATATAAAACGATTATTTGACCAAGTTTGACCGTTGTATTTAAATAAACTTTAAATGAATACCCGACTACTACACTAAGCTTAATTATTCGTAGACGTCACTTTTTCTAAATTTCCCTATTTGTATCGAAGGTAGACAATAAAAATCTTATAACTCCATCAGTCTATTTGGATCACATAACTCCAATCTCTGACCTCTATATACAAAGAGAGATTTCAAAGCACATATATGTAGTAATATAATCGCTGAATATATTTGACTAGATAGTAAATATTATAATTTTTTTTTTCTAAAGCCTTCAGACTTATGGACTTCATCATTAGTCCTCTAGCAGGTACGGGGCTGTTCGAGGCGTCAGCTGTGATCTTTTGGTTCTCTTATACTCGTGTAGATATCCAGGGAGCACGTCTTTTATAATAACGGGACGCGATCACTAATCACTCCCTCTTTGTCAAAATGGTTGGCAACCTTTTTGCAGACATCTCTATCCTGTTGTTTTTTACGGGATGGGGTTAATGTTCATGTGCCCAACACGCAATATGGAGGATTTGGAGCTATGTTGTTGGAAGACACAGGAGTCGCTCAGCTTTCTGTGAATCTCAGGATACATCATCAATACAAAGTCAAAAGTCATCACACTAATTATAAGTAATGCTGTGATTTCAAAAAGAAAAAGTCAAATTATTCTGTGATTTTATTTGCAAAGTGCTACTTAATGAATTTTCCGAATAAACCGACGAAATATATCTAATTATTTAAATATATAATCAGATCTAAAGTAATCAAACTTCATTACATTTTCTGCTGTTCAATTATGAGTTTTTAAACAATTTCATTGCCTAGATTCAGTGAATTATGTATACATTTTACAAACTTAAAAATTATTTATTGTAAAATTTTATCTTTTCAACTATATATTATACTTCCCATTTGTATTTATTACATATATAGGTAAGTGAAAATTAAAATTGAATATGCATTCATTGAAAATTATGAGCTCATCTTAGGTAATTTTTTCTATAACGGAAAAAAACACTGGGTGTGCGTAAACCAAAAGTAATGGGATATATTTAAAGAGACCTTAATAGCTACAAACAAGTTAATAGAACCATGGTCCACTTTACATATATATTTTGGGATGTTTATTTAAATATTTTTTCGAGTAATTTTGCGCCATTTATTTTTAAAAAATCGATGTTTTTTATTACTAAAGTTTCCTTTTTTTAAATACAACTAAGAAATGGTGCCTCTGGCCTAATGCAGTGGTACATGGCACCATAATCTATATTAATAAAAACGCAAATGTTCGTTTGTTCAAAACCGCTAAGCTCTGAAAATTCTTCACCGATCGCTTTGAAATATTAAAATAATGTATTTATCGCATTCAGGAGTGTTTTTATGTACATTTAACCAACCTCCGGTCTTTCGTTTCGGAATGGCGGCCCAAAAACCTGTGTCGCTATAGACTGTAGTGCCTAAACGGCTGTAACGACTTTAATTTAACTTGGCTAAAGTCTTCTCCATGAAGCCCTTTTAATTTATGTATATAACATTCTTTCCCGAAAAGAGTACGAAAAAAAAGTTACGATGGGTTAAAACTATATTTGCGAATAACTCAAAAAGAACTCAATTTTTCTTGTTTTATACCCATCATTATTTGAAAACTTTCTTGATTCCCAGCAAATCGAAAAAAAAAAATCACTAAGATCGGACTTTTGTGTGCAGCGATATAATGCTTTAAACATTTAGTAATTATTCGTAGGAGATTTAGAGACCGATTTCTTCTTATATAGACAACTATATGTTGCAAATTCTAGAGTTGGAAACCAGACAATCTCTATATCTATACAAAGAATGGAACAACAAAGAATATCCCATGTTCACAAGTATTGTTACATAAAATATATTAGAAACAGCCAGTTTCTTTTCTACTTGTTTTTTTATTTGACCAGAATGAGCCATAGCAACACGTAAGCTAGTGTTAAATAAATAATTACTGTTTTTACTATTCGACATGTGATAAAAATGTAGAAAAACGTGAAATCCTTTTTAAAAGTGCGTTGCTGGTTAGCTCATTCCGAATGATAATTTACAAAAATTGGAATCCATAATTATTATTTTACTTAAAATGTATTCACATTTTTTTACCGTTGAAATATTTTACATTGAATTACGTTTCCTTACAGGAAATTGAATGTAGAATACGAACCCGTAATGATAATATAATTTATCCCAGCTGAGAAATTATATAGTGTTGTTTTTATTTTAAAGTACATTATTTTCAAGGATATCTAGTTTCTCCTAAGTAAAATCCATTTTGGGATTTAATAGTAAAATTATCTTGTGTTATTGAATATGGCATTCGAACTATTGAATATCGTCATCTTCTTGTGATAGATCCTGTATATGTATATAAATATATATGTGTGTGGGTGCGTATGTGTAAAATATAATTTCCTCCATAGCGAACTTCTTTTGTTGCCTCTCTTTCCTCTTAATCAGTGCTTTAAACTCTATCATTCTGTGAACGGAATTATGGCCTAAGTAGAACGACGAATGAGTCGAGTATGATAAAGGAGACAGAAAGGAAACTGAACTAACAGTTCAATCTTCAAATCCACGATGGAAGGACCATATATGAGCTATGTCAATAGCAATTCGTTTTATTGCTCATATAGTTATGATTGTTGAGGGATAACATATGTTTTATAACACATGTTAATCACAGACGTCTAATAAATTATAAAACCCCTTACATATGTTCATAATCAATTTAATTTCATGGCTATACTTTTTTTTATCAATCCTTCACAGATAAAATTAATGTAAAGCTAATAAAAGAAAAAAAAAATTAATATCACATATTTCATTCCAAAAGTGATGGATAATTATTTGTTCGATAACTTTGGCAACAATGCAGTTCCGTCCGTGCTTCCAGGGAATCAATTTGACGACTTAAATGAAGAGCTAACGGAGTTAATGGAAGAAGTGGAGAGAAATAATAAATACAAGTACCAAAAATTGATACAAAGAGTTTCCAGCCCTTACGACTATATTCCCGACTTGCCAGAAACCAAAATGGTGGTTATGGAATCTTTGAAAGACATGGAAGAAGGCATCAACAATAGTAAAAGTGTCCGTCGTGTGTGTGAGGTCATCGATGAGAGCTACAGGAGTTTGGCGGCCGGCCCGAGGACTAGCAGTTAGGTCGATGCAAATATTGGCAACAATTCCCTGTTCGTCTGTTCCTCCAAGAGCCATTGATTCGTTTCGAAATTCATGTTTGTTGTGTTCAGCCGAGAGACAATAAAAGTTTTTAAATTGGGCTTGATCTTGATACCTGACTAACTACTTTTCTAAACGTTAATTTATTTATTGAAATTTTCAATTGTAACAAAACTACATAATAAAAATACGTATAGATATTGCATGGCAGCAGTTTGTGAAAAAAAAATACCAAACGGTGGTTGGTGCTCGTTGGTTGCCAAACATGAAATGTCCGATTTTGTAAATCTTAAAGTTTAGGAAAAATTAAAACGTTGCCTCATGATTCTCAGTGTTTGTTTAATTATCAAGCATCCACACAGATTATAATTTGATTTAAAACGTCCAATGGAAACAAGCTATTTTCGAACTATCTGTTTTTATGAATTCAAACCTAGTCATTCCGCTACCCAGACAACAAGAAATATTGATCAAGGTTTTGGTGAATAGAGTTGGCTAATGAAGGAACCATTCGTCGTTGATTTTCTAAATTTTCTTCAGGAGATGCGACATTGGAGAATCAACACCTTGGACAGCTTCCAACATCAAAAGTGCACTCATAGTGTATT